GGGCACAGCTGCGGGGCCTGCCGGCCGGGGTGGGCGGGCCCGGCCTGCAGCCAGAGGGTCCTGACAGGTAAAGCAGGCGTGCGGGTGCTGGAGGGGCTGAGCCTCCTGGCACACCTGGCACACCTGTGCACCTAGGCTGCCTACACATCACATCGCCCACCCTCTCCTTCCCCGGCTGAGCAGACTGAGGACTGGATAGGTTAAACGCATGCTCTGGTTCTAGATGGTTGGGATTGGAACTCAAGCCTTTAAACCAGGCCTTCCTTCCGAAAGATGTGTTGAGCCGTCACTGTGCTCTAGGGAATGTGCGTGACTCCAGGGTTTATGTTAACTGGCAGGGAGGCGTTCCCAAAGGCCCAGCCCACACACCCGACCCTCTGTGAGTCTGGGGTTCACGCTGAGACCTAAGGAGCGCTGACATTTCAGCTTCCTCGGTTATCCCTGCCGGGAGCTGAGGAGTTTCCCACCGCAAGACCGCATTCCGTCCTGTCAGGTGAGCAGCACTAAGTGTAAACACCAGTGCCTCGCCGGTGGCTCTCCTGTGGCCCTTCACGGACCAGGGGTATAAACGAGGGCTTGTCCAGTCTTTGTTACCATCGAGGCCTTGGGCTAATTGCTTTTATGTGTGTTCTCTGGTTTTTGAAACTCTGTAAAGCAAGGATCCTGTTTATCCACAATTTACAGAAGAAAATTGGGCTTAGAAAAACATTCCCACAGTCATAGAAAAGGCCCCTGGTCTTAGTTACTCTCCTGTACCCCCCGCCTGGTTTTTGCAAGATTTGTGATGTCAAAAAAAAAAAAAAAAGGCAGAAATTCCAAGAAAAAAATGTCAGTAGCAGAAATGAACGTGACAGGGTCACAGATTCATAAATCCACAAGAAAGATGTGGAAATCCACAGGAAAGATTAAAGGAAGCTAACAGAGCACAGCAGTGTAGTTGTATATGGGGAGAAGATAAAAGAAAAAGGCTGGAAGAAGATTTCATTAGGGTTATTTTTAAAAGTTGAATTTCCCTAACCGAAAAGTTCCAAATCCAGAATGCTCAAAATTTAAAATTTTGACACGATTCCACAAGTGGAAAATTCTATAATGTCAAATTCTGTTGTATGGACAAGAGGCTAGGTGAATAAGGCATACATTAAACGAATGAGTTTGTGTGTAGATGGGACTTGCATCATCAAGATATCTCATGATGATGCAATAACAAATATTTTGAAATGCAGGGCCGGGGAGTTAGCTCAGGGTTTCGGTGGCGTGCCTTGCAAGCGCAAGGACCCGAGTTCAATCCCCGGTACTACTACTACTACTACTACTACTAATAATAATAATAATAATATGCAAAAATATACAAAATCTGAAGCATGTCTGCACATACACATTTCAGAAAAAGGTGCCCAGCCTATAAAATAATTCAAAAGAAGATTTGAATATAGACAGATGTAACCATTAATGGATAAGGGGGACCAATGGGCCCATTCTCTAAGCATCCCATAAGGCAGGAGTTTTCACGCCTGAATTTTTCGTCCCTACAGTCAGAAGAAATCTCCTGGACTTTAGCGCCGAGGAAAGGAGCCACTTCGTGCAGGCCCTGGACCTGGCAAAGCGTACCACGCACCCGCAGTACGTCATCGCCACAAGGAGATCGGAAGAGATCCTGGGAGACGACGGCAACACGCCACAGTTTGAGAACATTTCCATTTATAACTACTTTGTTTGGACACACTATTATTCCGTGAAAAAGACTTTCCTTGGGCCGGGGCAGGAAAGCTTCGGGGAAGTGGATTTCTCTCACGAGGGGCCAGCTTTCCTCACGTGGCACAGGTTCCACCTCCTGCAGCTGGAGAAAGACATGCAGGTAGGAATGAGCACTTCCGACTCCGGTTCTTGTAGGTTTACGTCACTGCTGTTCCAAACGATCGGAACATATAATGACAGAGATTTCGCGTTATTAATCTGCCTTTTATCTCATTGCTCGCCCCATACTCTTACTTGCTGATTAATTAAACCTGATCTTTTGTGGAGCCAAAAGAAAGTATCCATGGTGGGGAAAGCCTTGGGAGACATTTCCAGGCATCATGAAGTAGACACTAAGAAATCTCTACAGGTCCTGATTTTTAAAAATGACTCCCATGAAATTTGAAACAAAGGAAATGCACTGGCGCCATGTTTATCAAAGGTGCGTGGATGCCCCCTTCTGGCCCGGGTGAGCGAGTGTCTGTCTTCCCAGGACAAGGCTCACAGTCACACTGGAGATCACGGGGCACACACACACACACACACAAGCACACACACACACACCAAGGATTCTCCTTTGGCTTCAGTCCTGTGCGTCTAGGGCATGGTGAGCTCTGGGCTTTTGCGGTTTCATTTCTTACCTCTCTTCAAGCAGCAAAAACCATCAGTCTTTTACATTTCTCACTGGACCACCTCTTCTTACCAGTTGATTATTCTGTCCAGTACAGGTTAGAGTTCAAGACATGAAAATGTTCCTTTGCATTTTGACTGTTGTATTTTCATTGAACCACATTTTCCCATAGCCATCTGCAGACCTTACATTACTGTATGAAAGTCAACTAAACATTAGCTTTCTTGACTGTTGTAGTCGCTTTATTATAGATAGGTACAAGCATCAAGTTGTACACCAAAAATACATATGATTTCTTTAAAACAAAATAACTCATCCATCAGATATTGCTTTTTTTTTTTTTTTTTGGTACTGGGGATTGAACTTGGGCCCTTGTGCTTACAAGGCAGGCAGCAGCACCACTGAGCTAAATTCCCGGCCCCATCAAATATTGTTTTTAACTAAAAGAAATTGGCTTGCGGGGGCATAAAATGAATCTCAATTTGAACACAGCTATTTCATGATTATCTTAAAAGCAGATACACTCAAAGCACATTAAAGTATTTGTTAGCATAGACATTTTTTTACCAACTTATCTATTTTTTGATAAAATTTGTAATTTTAGAATGCAAATTTCAAAGATCAGATCTCAAGTAAGAAATTCATAAATTAAACCTATTTCCTATGCTTAATAATAATAGCGAATCTCTTCCTCCAAGTTAAAATGTTAAAAATTAACCTAAAAACTTCTGAAGACAGAAAAGGTATTAGATTGACAGATTGATTTGCAGGGTGCTTGGATCAGCATTATTTCAAGAAGGAAAAAATGGTTAGAAGAGAGGGAACTAATGTTCTGAAATACAGAATAAAACATTTATTTGGAAGTAGTCTATCCTTTTGCAGTTTGAGTGTGATTAAATGAATTCACCTAGCACTCCACACATCATATTTTACAGCTCTGATTATAAGTAAAACATTTAGTAGATCTGGGGTGGATAAATCTGTCATTTTTCATTGACCCTAGAGCTTCACGTCTTCAAGTCCTTTTCCCACAGGCATTCCTAGATGGAAGTGTTGCAGAAACGATATCGGGCCTCTAATTGATGGAGGGAAATATTATAACCACCTGCTAGGTGTCAGATACACCGTGCTTGTGTTCCCCAAAGTCAAAGAATGAATTCTCGGAGTAGCAGAGGTTGAGTAGGAAACGTTGATTTGACGGATAGAGGAAATGTTGATTGAGTCAGGAGGGGTCCTGAATGGGTGGTTGGGACCCCACTTTTTAGGGGAAGTTTTTCAGGGCACAACCACAGGGGTACAAGGTGAGTCAAAGCCATCATGGTCCACCAAGAAGGTTGCAAGTGTAGTCGCTCAGTGACTAGTGGTCCAGTGGGGAACAAGTCACATCGCAAGTGTGCACGGAAAGAACAGGACCTCAGGCAGGTGCCAGTTCCAAGGGTCTGGGTCACCACCAAGATGACTGATGTCCACCTAGATTTTTGTCAGACCCGGTGTGACCGCTCACTCCAGCCCTTGGGGAAGTGCCTAGGCCTGGTCACTTTGTCTTTATCCTGAGGCCTGGCCTCCAATGGATGCACCTCTGGCCATGGTCCTGATGTGTTTTCGCCTTTCGTCCTGAGTCTCTGGAGGGCCCAGCCCTATCTGTCTAATAATATTTTATCTAATTTAGCTGCCTGTAGTAAAAGGACAGGTGGGTGGTCTTTAAAAGGTTCACATCACCTGTGTAACTTCAACCTCTTTATATCACAAAGCATCCAACAAATTGTGATCTAAACGCAGTGTCCTGCTGAGAGGCCATGTGCAGTTGCCCGTGCCCCCAAATGTCCACCACTGAGCCACAATGTGATGCCAATGAGCCCTGGGAAGCTGCCACTGATTGTGGTGAACCACTGCGATGGCTTCTAAATGAGGGCCACAGACCCTTGGAGATCCATAACCTGGGAACCTGCCGCACCTCTAAAATACCCAAGGACAGGGAAATGCATCCTAGAAAGGAACCGAAAGTGAAAAGGCAGACGGTACTGTGTGCTTGAGAGATAAGACAATGGCAATCCCGTCATTTAAATCTTACCCCTGATCCCAGCACTCCAGAGGCTGAAACAGGAGGATCACTGTGAGTTTGAGGCCAGCCTGGGCTACAGAGTAAATTCAAGGTCAGGCTGGGCTATGTAGTGATACCCCATCTCAAAAGAAAAAAATTCTCATCTCTGAATGTAACACCTTAAAGTCCTTAAGAAATGAGAAAGAACAGATAAGATAATGTATGTTTTGAGGAGCCCAAATTAAATAAGCCTGTAATCTTACTGCAGCATTTTTAAAAACTGTGAGATCAGTGCTAACTGGAAACTGGGTCTTTAATCTAAAAAGCAACAGGCACAACAATTTATTCTGTGCCTCCTGCACGGATTTCAGGCAGGTGGGCACCTAAGTCTTAATTTAGATTCTGGAGCATCAGTCTCTCACCAAACACCTTGAAGCCACTAAGGTAAAAGAGACCTTGTGCCCTGACACCAACCAGAACTTAATGGACCGTGGCCGATTAAATTAAATAACAAATGGAAACATAACAGAAGTCACTGTTCCAGAAAACAAAGTTGGATCTGGCATCTGACTAAGAGGCAGTGATGTTTAGATAAAAGACAGGAAATGAAAAATAGAAATGTCAAGGAATGGATGTTTTTATGGAGGTCCTTTGCTATAGCCAGGAGAAATGGAATGACCTGCTAAGAAGGGGGGAAAGGCGATAACTCTCTCCTCTCCAACGATTTGAGGAATAATGGATTGAGTGTCATTCTTCTGGGTTCTGACCTCTGTTTACCTCCTCGGTGGCTGCGGCCCCCGATTCACTGGTCCCTCGGTGACAGGCAGCCAGGGAGCAGAGCAGAACTAACAGTGCCCTGTGCCGCAGGACATGCTGCAGGACCCTTCCTTCGCCCTGCCTTACTGGGACTTCGCGACTGGGAAAAACGTGTGTGACGTGTGCACAGACGACCTGATGGGCGCCAGGAGCAGCTGGGACCCCGCGGCCATCAGCTCCAACTCCGTCTTCTCGCAGTGGCGCGTGGTCTGTGAGTCCTTGGAAGACTACGACACCAGGGGGACGCTTTGCAATAGTAAGTTCCGGGTGACACCCGCCGCAGTGCCTGAGAGTGAAATCCGTTACCGTTAGCGGAGTGTCTGTAGGCAGACGCTCCTGAGGCACCTGCGGCGTGCAGGGTCCGAGAGGCGCCCGGGAGACAGAAAGCGCCTGTGCATTTTGACATTGCTTTTCTTGGTGAATTGGGTCCCGGCGTTGCCAACTGCCTCACTGTAGAAAGGTCTGGTCTCATGAATTAATCCTCTCAGTACGCTCAGCGCTACTCAGGAGTCACGTGTCTTGGGTTGGAATTTCACAGAACATCTTTCTCGGGAAAGTCTGAAAGATGAAAATGTTTTAGAAATGTTGGGGGGCGAACATGATGGAGGAAAGAAGGAAAGACAGGAAAGAGCACAAAGAAAATAAAATTCTCTATGTTTTGTTTATTGTTTGTTTTTTCAAAGAGTTAAAAACTAAATCTGAAGTCAGGGGACAGGGTCGGTAGGGGAAGAAACCTTTCAGTTGGTCCCGCCAGCTCCTGTTCTTCTGCCCTTGTAAAATAAATGTCAGCGACTCTGGGTTGCCCCCAGGAACATCCTCCAGTGAGTTGAATGTTTCCTTGGTAGGTCAGGCTCTGTTCTTGTGAGAGTTTCTGATTCCTTTTCTTATATTGTTATTAACTGTCTCTGTGCTATGAACAGGAGGCCTTCATTATTAGAAGTTCCTGCTCTGTGTAATTTTTTTCTTCTTCAGGCATTTATTCGTCCTTTGAATGTTTGCTCTTGTACATAAAATCTAGAAGCACGGGAATGTATTTTATTATTTTGTCCACGTATTCTTTTGTAATGCTCATGCACCAAGTAGTAAATTATTTTGTAAGCTTAAAAGGACACTTTAAATAGATCAGAAAGAAGTTGATACGTGTAGTCGTCTCACCATTAGAAGGATATATAGATGGGTGTGCTGTGTACAGAAATGTGATTATCAAATTTCCTACTGTAGGTGATCAAAACTTAGAATAAATTTTTACCTGTTTGGTACACTGAAAGAGCGGTCCCACCTTTTGGCAGAGAAAGGAAATTGAGAATCATGGTCTCTTCATACTGAAATAGTTATCTATTTCTGGTCAGGCTGCTGTATTGGGGCTTTAAACTTTCATAGGCATTTTCCTTTAAACTGTCATAGGCATTGATGATTAGATAGCAAAATAAACAAAATTTAAGTGGGCATATAAAATTATAACATAGAAAGGAAGATGAAAAGGGAAATATTTCTTTTATTAGAGTTTTTCTTTTCAATTCATATGTATGTTTCATAATTTGTGACCAATTGAAATTTTTTCTAAAGATTGCTCAGTTCAAGGTGTAAATACCAAGCATTCTATTTATTAGGTGAGACAGAGAAAATATGAACTTTACCTTTTATTGAGCAAATATTTCAGATTGGAACTTAGGTTTGTGAGATTATTTTGGAGAAAGCACATCCTGCTTTGACAATTACCTCATCTGTCAGGGTGGTACTTTCTCCTTCAGACATTTTTATGTATCACATGTTTACTCACAGAAGCAGGACCTGGGGACCTAGATTTTGTTTCACTTTTGTGTCGCTGAGCAAGTACTTCTTAATTTGTTGACTATGCAGGAGGAACCTATTTTGCAGCGTTCCTGCTTGGTACAATGTTTTGGGAAGCAGTGGAGAGGCTGTCATGTTTGTCTCCCCTTTTTCTCAGGCACGGAAGGGGGACCCATCCGGAGAAATCCAGCGGGGAACGTAGCGAGGCCCACGGTGCAGCGCCTTCCTGCTCCACAGGACGTGGCTCAGTGCTTGGAAGTTGGCTCATTTGACACTCCTCCCTTCTACTCCAACTCTACAGACAGTTTCCGGAACACGGTGGAAGGCAAGTAAATGCAATGGGCACGTTGATGTGCTCCGGCTAGGAGAGTAAGTGAGGGAGCCCGGATCAAGGCTTCAAGGCTCAGAACAAGTTCACTACCATGTCGGTCCTGTGAGCACTCTGAATGCTGCTGCTAATGATGGAGTCACAATTTTCTGCTATTTAATTATCATAGCAGAAGGCATTGGCAATTATTCTCCACTCTTGCATAGCTAAAAACTACTTACAATCAAATTCTAGGTGGCTAGCTGGCCAGGATGTATAACAATATCTAAATTTAACATTGCCAAATAATATTCGAGATGGTTGTAGAATAATTTATTTTCTAAAAATGCATTATGATTTAAAAAAAAAACTCCAAATACCTAGATGACATTCTGTAAAGCCTGGATTGAGTATGTGTTTCATTAAGGGTGTATGGTCCTATAACACATTTTTAAAGTTTGCTGAAAAATCAGATTAGCATCTGGTGATTCATAATTCAGTTTTTGCATTTAATGACATTGTGATACTATTTTAAAGCTGAGGAAAAGGAAATCTGAACAGATAGAAGGACATTCTCAAGCTATTCAGGGAGTTAGTAACAGTACAGATGCTAATCCAAATTAAATATAAATTTCTATACTGTAAATCATGCTCAATACATAAATAACCCTGTGAAAGGCACATAATTACACATAAATTTATTATAATCAAATTACTGTTAAATTTCCTTAAATATAGCCTTGCACATGTTAGATATACCCTGAACCCCTATGGGAAAAGATCTCTCGGTCCTGTTTAAATATACTTATTTGGAGATGGTTCGATAAATAATGACTACAGTTTGGCTAAACTCTATCTGTACACTAAGACCCTAAGTATTGCTTTCTGAATCCACAGGTTTAGCCATATAAATGCACAACCAAAAGAATAGTGCTGAGTCAGGTGCCGTGTACCTGAGGGGCAATCTCTAGGTGTTTCTAAAATTTAAAAACAAGGCAACGGATGGATGGAAGGAAATGAATGAATGAACGAGTGAATGAATGAATAATGGCTGTAGCTACACAGTGTTGCTCCAGGCCAACTCACACACTTGTAACTCCGTTCTACGTCCTAGGCTCTCCATTTGTGTTTCTGTTCTGTTCAGAATCTATTCGCATCTTCTCACTAATACAGTGGTACCTGGCTTCGCAAATGCTTCTGCTCATGGAAGAAAAACTGTTTCACAAACAGAAGGATTGGGCCAAATTTTGTGTTTGTTTGGGGATGGACTCAGCGTCATGTGGTGAAGGTGTCTGTGGCCATCTTTTCCAGAAAGTGGAACACATTAAGTTTGTGAACCGAGTATCACTATGGAAAGAGATATTTATCAAAAGTTCTATAAATATCTTGGCAGTAGGTTTTTCAGTCTCTAGATGGCAAGGAAATGCTGAGGAAAATTTATCTGCCCCACAACATAATTCGCCAAAAATAAACGTGCAGATGGTCACCCAAAAGGTGCAGAGTAAGGATGGAAAGCAACACCTGGTGATTTAAATTCAGAAATGGAGCGCCCCCAGCTGTGTCAGCAGTTTGGGTCACAACTGGAGACTCCCGCTATCCTGGTCTCCACACAGAACAATGTCTACCTTGCCAAAACGGAATGCTCTATATATTTGGACTGGTGTCCTTTGCAGGTCATTATTTTTAACCTGCAGGCTGCAGCTGGAATATCACGCTGTAGCTTAAGAGTAACCTAGTTCTGAGTATAGCAAGGAAATGTCTCAACCGTTAGCGCAGAGAAGCAGTGCTATGATATTAGGGTAAAAGTCGGCTTGACAAGCTTTGAAAAAATTATGTCCCAGTACAATCCCTGCTGCTGATTGAAAAAATAGTGAGGTATTTGCAATGTTTTCTACTCTTTGCATCCATACTTTGAATCTAGGTTACAGTGATCCCATGGGGAGGTACGACCCCGCTGTTCGGAGTCTTCACAATCTGGCCCATCTATTCCTGAACGGGACTGGAGGACAAACCCACTTGTCTCCCAATGACCCTATCTTTGTCCTCCTGCACACGTTCACCGACGCCGTCTTTGATGAGTGGCTGAGACGACACGATGCCGGTGAGTCACCCACGTGCTCTCTGCAGAGGGCATTGTTCCCGGGGCACAGTTAGCAGTGTGTGCTCGATCTTGACACTCATGAAATACACTTCAGAGCAAGGATAAAAGAATTGCCCACTCTAGCTGCTCCCAGATACTCACTACCACTCTGAAATTGCAGGCGTCTCTCACAATAGTTCTTTTAAGATGATGTTTATTGTATCATTTACCAGAGCTAACCAGGTAATTTCTTCTCATTTTGGCTACAAAAAAATGACTGCCATGTTTCCCAAATTTTTCTTCCCCGTATCTCCCAGCAAACATTCTCACAGCCCTTTTAAATGAACGAGAAAACCTTACAAAGCTCTTCTTTGCTGCCCCAGAAGATCAAAATTTTATAGCCGTACTCCACAGTTCTGTGTTTTATTGCTTTATGGCCTTATATAATGGAAATTTTGTTCAACTTGAGAAGTTAATGTTGATTTTTATGTCACACTATAGGAAATCTCTTTTAAGCTCATCTCAATGTGTTCTTTAAAATATTACTTAAAAGGTCTCTTTTTCTGCACCCTTACTCAGTAGAAAGTCTTGCATTATTTTCAAACCATTAAAATGCTTCCACTGGTTAAAATGTAACTTCCATGTTTTTAAAAACATGTTATAATTTTTTACTTGTTTGCTTTTACTTGATCATGCACATAAACTTGGCAATAGAAGTTAATTATCTACTGATTAATCTAGTGAAACCTATCGTGTGTGTGTGTGTGTGTGTGTGTGTGTGTGTGTGTGTGTGTGTGTAAGCCCTCTAATCCAACCTTTGTGGGACCTTTAATGGAGGAGTAAGTCCAAATGGTTTATTCCATCAGAAAATCATTTAGGACAAAAGTAACTTGCACATAAATATTTGCTTACTTTTAAGATTCAAAGATTGAAGTTATACTTTATATTCTGTGTATTTAACTACAGCCACAGCAAATTATCTAAAATTTGTATTGTCAGGATTCTTTTTTTTCAAGTGAACCAAGAAAATGAGACTTTCACGCTGTACTCTGAGAGTAGCAGTCTAGATTTTCATACCTCTTTATTGAGTGCTTCCTAACCTGCAACTATATATTGTCTATTCATTTCTAACAAATCTTCCCAGAGTGTTCAACATATCTTTTTATAAGCACAGTTATCACTTTATTTTTGTTTAACTAGATTAATAGGTGTAGGAATTATTAAAACCAACTTTTATTACATATCCATTGTGGTTACTCGACAGCAATGCACGTTATATTTACCCAGTCAACCACAGTGTCTCGGGTGTCCATGAATTTCTCAGCGGAAATGGAGAATCTTAGTATTGGAAAGTCACTTAAGCTAATTTTCTTTCAATTATGAAAATATGTATTCTATTGCCTTTCATATATTGATTTTAAAATAATCATTTCACATTCATAGTAATTTTCTAAAGGTTCCTCGGATTTTAATTTAAATGTTATTGTTAAATCAGAAACAATTACCTTGATTCTTCTTTGCCTCCTGTTCCTTTCTGTTGAGTTATATGAAGCTTAAAGTTTCTCAGTTCCCTTTAAGTAGTGAGGAGAGACACACCCTAAATTCAAAGTAGAAAATTAGCTTGTACAATATTTCTGATAAAATGTGACCATGAAGTTATAGGATAGGTCAAGGCAAATACTTATAAACTGTATGAAAGCTAATCCCAATAATTACCTTCTTAAATATTCCATATACCTTCAAATACCCCTTGGAAATCCAGGTGTGGTGCTGCACACCTATAATCCCATCACTTGGGAGGCAGGATCCCCATGAGTTCCAGGCCAGCCTGGGCTACATAGTAAGATCCTGTCTCAAAAACAAAACAAAACAAAAAATCCCTTGGAAAACAATGTAATAGAACAACTATTTGTAATTTGTCAAAGAAGAATTAAATTACAAGGAGAGTTCCTACAACCATCAGTAAAACATGAGTCTTTTTAAAGATAAGTCTAAAAGTAGTGAATGAGTTCCTTTTTTTTTTCTTTCTTTCTTTTTTTTTTTTTTTTTTTTT